AAATCGTTTTTTGTTCGCTTTGGCGTCGACATCCGGTTTTTGGAGCTGCAGTTTTCCGAGGCTGTTGCGCGCAGTTCTATGTGTTTTGGCAACTCAGTCTCTGCAACATCCTATTGTAAGCGGCTGCGTCAAGGTTGCTTCGTGCCGCGGCTGCATGCGTAATACTATTTTTTTTGCAGCTGGATCTCGTAAATAGTATTGGAGTGTCTGCATCAAGGCTGCGACGATGATTTGTCAGCAGATTTTCTCAATTTTGGCGCTAGTAATGTTCCTTTTAAAATTCCTTTTAAAAAGTGCTTCAAAATCGTCTTTTTGTCGCTTTGGCGTCGAGATCCCGGTTTTGGAGCTGCAATTTCCGACGCCGTTGCGCGTAGTTCTATATATTGTGTTTTGCAAGTCAGTCTCTGCAGATCGCAATGTAATGGCTGCGTCAAGGTTGCTTCGTGCCGCGGCTGCATGCGTAATACTATTTTTTTTGCAGCTGGATCTCGTAAATAGTATTGGAGTGTCTGCATCAAGGCTGCGACAGCGATTTGTCAGCAGATTTTTCAATTTTGGCGCTAGTAATTTTCGTTTTAAAATTCCTTTTAAAAAGTGCTTCAAAATCGTGGTTTTGTTGCTTTGGCGTCGAGATCCGGTCTTGGAGCTGCAATTCCTGTTGTGATAAAACGCTTGCTGTGTGTAAAAGATCTTGTGTGTAAAATCTTGCTGTGTGTAAAAGCTTCTCTGTTTGTAAAAGCGTCTCAGTGTAAAAGTTTCTGTGTGTGTAAACGGTTGCCATGTGTAAAAGCACTGTGTGTAAGTGTCCTGTGTGTAAACGCTTGCTGTGTGTAAAAGCTTGCTGTGTGTAAAAGCTTCTCTGTGTGTAAAAGCTTCTCCGTTTAAAAAGCTTGCTGTGTGTGTAAACGCTTGCCATGTGTAAAAGCGCTGTGTGTAAGTGTTCTGTGTGTAAACGCTTGCCATGTGTAAAAGCACTGCGTGTAAGTGTTCTGTGTGTAAACGCTTGCTGTGTGTGAAAGCTTGCTGTGTGTAAACGATTTTTTGTGTAAATGCTTGCTGTGTGGAAAAGCTTCTCTGTGTGTAAAATCGTCTTTGTGCAAAAGTTTCTGTGTGTAAACGCTTGCCATGTGTAAAAGCACTGTGTGTAAGTGTTCTGTGTGTAAACGTTTGCTCTGTGTGAAAGCTTGCTGTGCGTAAAAGCTTCTCTGTGTAAAAGCTTGTTGTGTGTAAAAGCTTCTGTGTGTAAAAGCTTCTCTGTTTAAAAAGTTTGCTGTGTGCAAAAGCTTCTCTGCGAAAGCACTTGCTGTGTGTAAAAGCTTTCTTTGTGCAAGCTTCCTTAAGAAGTAGTGGGAAATACTTTGTGCAAGCTTTGTAGTACAAAGTAGTACTGGGAAGTACTTTTTGCAAGCTTTGTAGTACAAATAGTACTGGGAAGTACTTTTTGCAAGCTTTGTAGTACACAGTAGTACTGGGAAGTAGTTTGTGCAAGCTTTGTAGTACACAGTAGTACTGGGAAGTGGTTTGTGCAAGCTTTGTAGTACAAAGTAGTACTGGGAAGTGGTTTGTGCAAGCTTTGTAGTACGAAGTAGTACTGGGAAGTGCTTTGTGCAAGCTTTGTAGTACAAAGTAGTAGTGGGAAGTACTTTTTGCAAGCTTTGTAGTACACAGTAGTACTGGGAAGTAGTCTGTGCAAGCTTTGTAGTACAAAGTAGTAGTGGGAACTACTTTTTGCAAGCTTTGTAGTACACAGTAGTACTGGGAAGTGTTTTGTGCAAGCTTTGTAGTACAAAGTAGTAGTGGGAAGTACGTTTTGCAAGCTTTGTAGTACACAGTAGTACTGGGAAGTAGTCTGTGCAAGCTTTGTAGTACAAAGTAGTAGTGGGAACTACTTTTTGCAAGCTTTGTAGTGCACAGTAGTACTGGGAAGTGTTTTGTGCAAGCTTTGTAGTACAAAGTAGTGCTGGAACGTGTTTGTCTGTGCAAGCTTTGTAGTACAAAGTAGTACTGGGAAGTGCTTTGCGCAAGCTTTGTAGTACAAAGTAGTACTGGGGAGTAGTTTGTGCAAGCTTTGTAGAACAAAGTAGTACTGGGAAGTGCTTTGTGAAAGCTTTGTAGTACAAAGTAGTACTGGGATGTAGTTTGTGCAAGCTTTGCAGTACACAGTAGTACTGGGAAGTGCTTCGTGCAAGCTTTGTAGTACAAAGTAGTACTGGGAAGTACTTTTTGCAAGCTTTGTAGTACACAGTAGTACTGGGAAGTAGTTTGTGCAAGCTTTGTAGTACAAAGTAATACTGGGAAGTGTTTTGTGCAAGCTTGTAGTACAAAGTAGTACTGGGAAGTGATTTGCGCAAGCTTCGTAGTACAAAGTAGTACTGGGATGTAGTTTGTGCAAGCTTTGTAGTACAAAGTAGTACTGGGAAGTGCTTTGCGCAAGCTGTGTAGTACAAAGTAGTACTGGGAAGTGATTTGTGCAAGCTTCGTAGTACAAAGTAGTACTGGGATGTAGTTTGTGCAAGCTTTGTAGTACAAAGTAGTAGTGGGAAGTACGTTTTGCAAGCTTTGTAGTACACAGTAGTACTGGGAAGTAGTCTGTGCAAGCTTTGTAGTACAAAGTAGTAGTGGGAACTACTTTTTGCAAGCTTTTGTAGTAGACAGCAGTACTGGGAAGTACTTGACATGAAAATAGCCAAGAAGAACTTAGCTGACATATGGGAAGACATGGAATGAGATGAGAAGAGCTCAGATGAGATGAGTTGAGATGAAGTGCAAGTGTGAAGTGTGGAGTGTGGGGTGTGAAGAGTGCAATGTGAAGTGTGAGGAAAGTGTTTGCATTGCACCGGGGTCGCGCGCAGGTCATGTTCTTGGACAGCAACACTGCAACAGCTTGGCGCACGGCGCATGCAAGTTCCTTAGTAGTAGTACTGGGAAGTGATTCATGAAAGCTTGCATGACATATGAGAAGAGATGATGAGATGAGAAGAAATGAGCTGGGATAGGGTGAGAAGAGCTCAGATGAGATAAAGTGTGGCGTGTGAAGAGTGCAGTGTGAAGTGTGGGGCATGAAGAGTGCAGTGTGAAGTGTGGAATGTGGAATGTGAAAAAAGCAGTGAGAAGTGAGAAGTGTGAAGTGTGGACTGTGAAGTTTCAAGTGTGACGTGTGAAGTGTGGACTGTGAAGTGTGAAGTGTGGAGTGTGAAGTGGGAAGCGTGCAGTGGGAAGTGTGAAGTGTGGAGTGTGAAGTGCGAAGTGGAGCTTCAAATGTGAGATGTGAAAGAGGACACCACTTTCGCAGAGTGCACGCACGCACGGGCTTGGCTGGCGCACGGCGCATGCAAGTTCTATAGATGAGAAAGGTCTTTTATATACCTTTAAGGCAACTTCCGCCCCGCCTCGTGCGGGTACTACTGGTATTGGTATCTAATATCAATTCTTACAGGATATTTCGTGATATTTGATATTAGGACCGAAGCTCTTAGGCATCGCCTTCAATGACCCTCAATGTGGGCCCAACGGAGGAAAAACTAGACATGTTGCAAGGTCTCTGATGGGACGGGGCATTTTCTGCAACCGGTGATTGCAGTCTGAAATCCCCTCTGCTTCAACATATGTCAAGAGCTGTGCAGGCTACTCTGTTCTGGAAGTTGCCGAAGATGGTGGCATCTCCATTTCCATCGCTCGGCAGATGGCGGCAATTTTTGACACCATGGCCAGCTCAGGGGCAACCAGGAAGAAGGTGACCTTGAATTGTGGAGTGTGGGGCATGTTTCCAGACCATTCCTTGACACCGATCAAGGCCAATCTCAACATTGAGATTTTCGATGACATTTGCTGCCTGGATCTTGATTCATGGATCCATTTTTGTTTTTTCTTCCTGGCTGCTTTTGAATTGTCTATTTGCGGCTGCTGCCTCTTCCATCAATTTTATGCGACGCAATGAGGTTGGGTGTCCAAGAGCTTCAAGGCCTACTACTCCACAGACAGCTCTGCGACGTCTGAGTCCATGTGCCGGGCCAATTGTCGCCGCGACAACAATTGCCCCAGCTATCTGTGGACCTCCAACCAGTGCCGCCGCTACAGGACGCATCCCACAGGATCCTCTGTGACGGCCTATAATAAGGTGACCAACTGTACTGCTGACGCAGCGTGCAAAGATGTGCAAACCGGCAGCTGGTACCAATCGGGCTTGTACTGCCCTGTGGCACCAGACTTGTTTCGAGGTAACAGTTTGTACCTGAAGAAGGGAGAGACACCGGAAGAGACCCTCTACCTTTCGAAGTATGTCTCCAGTATTGATGGGCCAGTGAGTGGGTGCAGCAATGGGAATTGGATCCTGAGACAGGCTGATGCTGAGAAGGATTATATCAAATTGGAGGCGACCCATCGTTGGTGTTGACATGTCTTGACAGGTTTCCAGGTGTACAGTGATAAAGTGTGAAGTCATGTGAAGTCCATGGCTTGGAGAATTAATGAGAATTAGATTGATGAAAACGCCATTGCGAGCACCGGCTTTAAAAGATAGGAAGATTTTTGGCGGAAACAAACATAGGTAAGGCATAGGTAAGGCATTCACAGAAGCATCATAGCATCATTGTAATGCTGACGATTTGATGCGTTCCACGTTGCAAGAAGTACTGGTATGTTGAAGTATGTTTCACAGTTCCACTTCAAATTTGGCGTGGGCCCCTGTCACGAGCCTGTCACTGTTTTGTTTGTGCGTGGTTTTCCACTCATTCTATTCAGTGTCGCACCAACGAGTATGACACTTGCAAAGGCAATGTGAATTGTTGTGCGTGCCCCACCTTCCAGCGAAGTGTTGTGTTAGGCAGGCGAAGTTGAGCTTGGGGGACGTGTTCTACGTTGCATCAGTGGCAGCATCCCTTTTGGGGTCGCATCTTGTGGTCAGCCCAACATCACTGTTCCAGATGAGGCAGGACCAAATGCCGCACTGGGATGTCAACATGGCTTGCAGCTGGGCCGGTCACAATTCTTAAGCGCTCACGTACTTTGCAAATTTTACACATGCTACTGTAACATACTGTAAGTAGTATAGTTTTTGCTCGATGATGCTTGGTTTGCACTGCTGCTCCAGGGCTATGCTCCAGTTGTGGTGGACGATCCCTACACTAGCGATCCTGCGGACTATTGGCTTCATCCTTGCGAATGTGCTCCGCCTGCTTGGGGGATGGAAAAGCCGGTGAACCCTGAGTCCTTTGAGTCGGTCCCAGGGAAAAGTGGGAATCAGTTCACCCCAGCGCCCTTCGAATTGGTTGCCGGGCAGTTCGTTTGTCCTGCCAAAGAGCTGCTGGACAACGGCGTGCACTTCGAAACAGAAACGGAGCAGATGGAGAGAGCTGACTGCGAAGCTCGATGCAAAGCAGACAACTTGTGCAACTTTTTTGGCATGGATCCCAGCAGGCGGGGGTCAACGTGGGCCAACAAATTCATGCTGGTGCTTGTCAAATCTAATGAAAGCGTCCAGATGCGTCCAGACATGTCCAGACTAATTGTCAAGATGGGCTGGCAACTGTCGGATTGTTTTCGAACCAGCTTAACACCAAAGTGAGCGATGCCAGGGCGCGAACACCTGCCGCCTCTACTCCGCGTGTTCTCATTTGGTCCGAGAAATGGGACTGGAAGGTGTCTGGGGAGAGACCCATGGATCCTGCCTGTAATCCCAATTCCAGAATATTTTAGGGCCATCCCGGGTGATTCCCGGCCAGGTCGCTTGGCAGCTCTTCCTCGCAGCAACAGTTGCCAGGTGGCTGACCCGGAGTCTTGCTGGGCTACCAGCCTGAGAAGAGCCTCGTTGACCTCGAGTCATGCCCCCAACTTCCTGTATTGGAATCTGCACCAGCAATGTGATGAAGCCTTGTTGCTGGGAGGGATGGGTGTGGAGACCTGCGCGCACCCCACTTATCGTCCCATCACTTCTCATAAGTGGCAGCATAAAGCGTTGCTGCCGCAAAGCTTTCCGCACGGAACCAAGCTTGGGCTTTCTTGCTGGCAAGAGCGTTATAGTGGCGTTAAGGGCTCCGGAAGCGCTTCAAGCATTGCCCTTTTTTGTGTAACCAGCAGGAAGTGATCAGTAGCTATTACTTTTTGGCTGGGTTATGTGTCAAAATTGCAACAGTCCTTTTTTGGAACCTACCAATACTGTCACTTTTTGCAGCGACTGAGGTAAATGGTGATTGGTTCAACGCAGACAATGAGGAGGAGCTGGGTTCCTTCTCGTGCGAAGCTTGCGTGCAGGTTGCTGACGTTGGATTCAAGCAAATCGAGGCACGCAACGAGCAAGAGATTTGGTACATGAACCGAATGAGGCTGGGTCGGCCAATCTGATTAGCAAATTCTGGCTGACAAGACTCTGACAAGACCTACCTGGATGCCATGCTGTAATACTCTCTATAACATAGACCCGGGCAAGCCGGCGGCGGAAGTTTCCCAAACATAAATGACCTATAGTTCAAAGACACCCTGTCCCGACCGTGTCCTTCCCTCGACAACCGTTTGATTTTTTCAGCGAGAGACGAAGCAAAGTCTTCACACTCAACACTCCACACTTCACACTGCACTCTTCGCACTCCAAACTTCAAACTTCACACTCCACACTTCACACTTCACACTTCTCGCTGCTTCCTTCACACTCCAAACCTCACACTTCACACTTCACACTTCACACTGCGCTCTTCGCACTCCAAACTGAAACTTCACACTCCACACTTCACACTCCACACTTCACACTTCTCACTTCCCACTGCTTCCTTCACACTGCACACTTCACACTGCACTCTTCACGCCCCACACTTCACACTGCTCTAAACCTACGTGCAACAAAAAAAACACTAGCGCCAAAATGGAGAAAATCTGCTAACAAATCCATTTCGCAGCCTTCATCCAGCCAGTCCAAGACGATTTACGAGATCCAGCTGCAAAAGACATTACGCATGCAGCCAAAGCAAGAAGCAACCTTGACGCAGCCATTCCAATGCGATCTGCGGAGACTGAGTTGCAAAACACAAGAGAACTACGCGCAACGGCGTCGGAAATTGTAGCTCCAAAACCGGATCTCGACGCCAGAGCGAAAAAAAGACGATTTTGAAGCACTTTTTAAAAGGATTTTTAGAAGGAAAATCACTAGCGCAAAAATGGAGAAAATCTGCTGACAAATCACTGTCGCAGCCTTCATGCAGCCACTCCAATACGATTTACGAAGTCCAGCTGCAAAAGACAATAGTATTACGCATGCAGCCTCAGCATGAAGCAACCTTGACGCAGCTATTACAATGCGATCTGCGGAGATTGAGTTGCAAAACACAATAGAACTACGTGCAACGGCGTCGGAAAATTGTAGCTCCAAAACCGGATCTCGACGCCAGAGCGAAAAAAAGACGATTTTGAAGCACTTTTTAAAAGGATTTTTAGAAGGAAAATCACTAGCGCCAAAATGGAGAAAATCTGCTAACAAATCCATTTCGCAGCCTTCATGCAGCCACTCCAAAACGATTTACGAAGTCCAGCTGCAAAAGACAATAGTATTACGCATACAGCCAAAGCAGGAAGCAACCTTGACGCAGCGATGACTACAATGCGATCTGCAGAGACTGAGTTGCAAAACACAATAGAACTACGCGCAACGGCGTCGGAAATTGTAGCTTCAAAACCGGATCTTGATGCCAGAGCGAAAAAGAGGCGATTTTGAAGCATTTTTTAAAATGATTTTTAGAAGGAAAATCACTAGCGCCAAAATGGAGAAAATCTGCTGACAAATCATTGTCGCAGCCTTCATGCAGCCACTCCAATACGATTTACGAAGTCCAGCTGCAAAAGACAATAGTATTACGCATACAGCCGAAGCAGGAAGCAACCTTGACGCAGCCATTACAATGTGAGTTGCAAAACACAATAGAACTACGCGCAACGGCGTCGGAATTTGTAGCTTCAAAACCGGATCTTGATGCCAGAGCGAAAAAAAGGCGATTTTGAAGCATTTTTTAAAAGAATTTTTAGAAGGAAAATCACTAGCGCCAAAATGGAGAAAACTAGACGACGGTTGGCCCGAGAGCGAAAAAGACGTTTTTCAAGCAGCTCTGAGTATGGTAGTCGTAAAAAATAGTCGGTGATTGGTTGGTGAATTTTATATGAGCTATGGAGGGGTAAGTTGTGAAAAGTAAGATTGATTAAGAAGAGGATACATGTGACAACCCATGCATATGCACTGTGCTGCTTGGTAAAGGGCATCATATGACACGTGTCTTGCAACCACAGAGAGACATAGATAGAGAGAAAGGGAAAGAGAGAGAGAGAGAGAGGGAGAGAGAGAGAGAGAGAGAGAAAGAGGGAGAGAGAGAGAGAGAGCAGGGTCTTCTGTTGTTAGTATTGAGACACTATATTGCAAGACAATATATTAAAGATGTATTTTAGGCAGGCGAGACAAGTAGTATCAAGACAATATATTACAAGTACAAAACACTAGTTTGCATCCTATCCTTCGTACTGTTTTTCACACGCAGACGCTTTTGCACAGAAGCTGTTACACACAGACGCATTTAGCGTTTACACACAGACGCTTTTACACACAGAAGGTTTTACACGCAGACACTAGACACTTTTACACACATAGGCTTTTACACACAGACGCCTTTACACACAGACACTAGACACTTTTACACACATAGGCTTTTACACACAGACGCTTTTACACGCAGATGTTTTTAGACACACACACTTTCACACACAGAAGCTTTTACACACAAACACTTTCACACACAGAGGCTTTTACACAGAGGCTTTTACACACAGACGCTTTTACACACAGAAGCTTTTACACACAGACTCCTTTACACACAGACGCTTTTACACACAAACCCTTTCACAGACGCGTTTACACACAGAGACTTTTACACACAGACGCTTTTACACACAGAAACTTTTACACGCAGACGCTTTTATACACAGGCGCTTTTACAGGCAGATGCTTTTACACACAAACACTTTCACAGACGCGTTTACACACAGAGACTTTTACACACAGACGCTTTTACACACAGACACTTTTACACGCAGACGCTTTTACAAACAGGCGCTTTTACACGCAGATGCTTTTACACACAGAAGCTTTTACACACAGACACTTTTACACACAAACGCTTTTACACACAGACCCTTTTACACACAGACCCTTTTACACACAGAGGCTTTTACACACAGACGCTTTTACACGCAGATGCTTTTACACACACACACACTTTCATACACAGAGGCTTTTACATACAGAAGCTTTTGAAGAGTGTCTCTATATGACATTTTATGGTCCTGAACTCAAACTGTTCTGTTTTTGACATCAAGCACATGATGGCATCGAGCTCTGTTGCAAACGTTTGCAGACATTTCACTAGTGAAGTATTGTCACATGATCATTTACAGCATCATGGTACCGATCTTTTTTGGGCCATTTACGTGGGATTTTCCATAATAAAATGAAACAACATGTGTCATACACAGCATCATGGTACCGAGCTTTTTTGGGCCATTTATGTGGGATTTTCCATACTAAAATGAAATGACATGTGTCATACACGGCATCATGGTACCGAGCTTTTTTGATAGTTTCTGTGGGATATTCCCAGAATAAAATGAGATAACGCGTGTCATTTACTGCATTATGGTATTGGACCTTTTTCCCGAATGCGTAGCAAGGGTTTCCGTTTCACTCTGGGGGTCTGGGGGTTGAGGGTGTGTTCGCTCGACGTTGCGTTCGCGAGCGCAACCGTTCGTGTGAGGACCGTATGGCCGTGCCTATGGGAAGTTTTGCAGAGGTGGTCCTTTTTGGAGGTTTCAGACGTCTGGTTGCTTCGTTTCGCGTGGCAGGCGTGGCACTTCGTGACATTCAGACGTGTTTCGCAACGTGTTGAAAATCGTTTTGCGTGGCAGGCGCAATACTTTTGTGACGTTTTCAGAAGATGTGTTGCAGTTTTCGTGGCAGGCGCAGCACTTTGGACGTGTCCATCGTCATTTTTCGTGGCAGGCGCAGCACTTTAGACGTGTCCTGTTGCGTGTTTTTTTGTAAATCGCATTGGCAGGGCTGCGTCAAGTGGTGACAAAGTGCAAATTCCGTGGCAGGCGTGGCATTTTCTGACATGTGCTGAAAATTGACGGAAGCCTCGCACGAAACATCGATTTTGATGTTGCAAATTTTGAGGTTCTAAGGAAAACTCGTAGGAAAACGTCGATTTTGAAGCTACAAAGAGTGAAAATTGGAGGAAGTCTTGCACGAAATGCTCGTTTTGGTGCGCCCACGTGTCTCGTCTCGCGTCCCTGGTTTTCCCGTGGCCTCGCCGTGTCTATGGGGGAAGCTGCAAAACTTGTCCTTGTGTCATGTTGCCAACTGTGAAAATTGGAGGAAGTCTCGCACAAAATGCTTGTTTTTCTGCATCCACGTGTCTTGTCTCGAGTCGCTGGTTTTCCTGTGGCGTCGCCGTGTCTATGGGGGAAGCTAAAAAACCTGTCCTTTTCGAATGTTTCCAAGCAGGTCGTCATGTTGTTTTGCGTGGCAGACGTGGCACGTTTTGACATTCCAACCTGTTTGATAATGCGTCAAAAATGTCAAAATTGGAGGAAGTCTCGTACGAAATGCTGGTTTTTCTGCATCCACGTGTTTTGTCTCGAGTTGCTGGTTTTCCTGCGGCGTCGCCGTGTCTATGGGGGAAGCTGGAAAACATCTCCTATTCGAATGTGTCCAAGCAGGTTGTCATGTCGTTTTGCGTGGCAGGCGTGGCACTTTGTGACATTCCAACCTGTTTGATAACGTGTCGAAAATATCAAAATTGGAGGAAGTCTCGCACGAAATGTTCGTTTTTCTGCATCCACGTGTCTCGTCTCCAGTCTCTGGTTTTCCTGTGGCGTCGCCGTGTCTATGGGGGAAGCTCCGCACTCCACACTCTACACTTTACACTCCACACTCCACAATTTACACTTTAGACTCCACACTCTACACTTTACACTTCACACTCCACACTTTACACTCCTCACTCCTCACCTGAGACTTTACACTCCACACTCCACACTTTACACTACACTCTACACTTTCCACTCCTCGCTCCTCACTCTACACTTTACACTCCACACTCTACACTTTACACTCCACACTCCACACTTTACACTACACACTCCTTACTTTACACTCCACACTTCACACTCCACACTTTCCACTCCACACTCCACACTTTACACACCACACTCCACACTTTACACTCCTCACTCCACACTTTACACTCGTCGCTTTACACTCTACACTCCACACTCTACACTTTACACTCTACACTTTACACTCTACACTCCAC